ATTAGAGTATATTTTTCAAGCGGCACACTATTTTTGGTATCTTTGGTCTCTTGTTTAACATTCGTATTGAATCGTTTGTCGTATCGAAATCCTTCTTTTGTGTCTTTTAGGTTGCATCTTGAATCTTGCACATGTTTTAGGTATTTGTGTTGGGATTGGATGGTTTCAGGTTTGTTCGGATCAAGAACGGGCGAGAGAAGCTGAAGCGAGGAATAGACCGGTTAGACCGTTTAGTCCTCCCTTGGACCGATCGATCAGAAGTTGATCTATAGATAGAGTCGGCTAGACTGATCAGTTCCCATCTGGACCGATCAGTTCCCACCTGGACAGATCGGCCCGAAGTCAAAAACGGAGTTAGAGTCGGTTGGACCAATGGGTCATTTTTTAGACCGATCGGTCCAGACGGCGACAGAGGAGCAGACTCGATTAATTAGACCGATTGGTCCTCTCCTAGACAGATCAGTCCAGAAGACGACGAATGAGTAAAACGCGTTCCTGAGAGTTATGGATAATAATTGGGTATAAAAACTCCTAAAAACCTAATAAGTTTTTATGCTTTTTTGCAACTTTTCTGAGAGCTGTAAGCCACTACTTTGGGATTAGAGATCCATCGACTTTAAAATTTAGATCTTATGTTCATGTTCGAGAACGATTCTTTATTGTTGGATTCCTTGTTTCATATTTTTTATTAACCATTAATCTATAAAATACCCTATGGCCAAATGCTTTTTATCATATACGTTGAATCGTTTATTTATTTTATATTTTATTTACAAGTCTAAAAACCAAACAAATATATTTCCACTTTAGTTAATAACGAGTCTCGCAAATCTGAAGTGTACCATTGGTTCTTATGTATCAACTCCGTATATACTATCATGCGGTTAAATGTATAAGGTAATTACTAAAACAATCACAATGTGTTCCACATAATATGCATTATCGTCATGTAGATAAATACCATTATATACAGATTAAAAAAAAAAAAGAGAAAACAAAGTTGCATTACCTATGGTTGATAGCCTTGTTCTAAAAATCGGCCGCCTAGCCGCCTAGGCGCTGATCGGAGGAGCAGCGCGGCGATTTTGTCCAAATCGGTGAGAAAAATCGGAGATCCGATTTTTCGTCCGCCTAGACCGCCTAGGCGGCCGCCTAGCCCGCCTAGATGGCGCCTAGCCCAATTTTTTTTTTTTTTTTTTTTTTTTTTTTTTTTTTTTTAAATCTAAAATTCAAAACGTCCTACTTATGTTCGTAATTTGTATAAAAATCATAAATTTGAAATTAAAATCTTGTTTTCATGTGTTTAATACAATTTTTAAAACAATATTATATAAATTTCTTAATTATAATGGATTAATATGTTTTTAAAACATTAAATAGCCCTAAAACTAATCCCCGATTAATCCCCGTGTAATCCCCGATTTTTTTGCTAGGCGCTAGGCGCACCCTCACCGCCCGACTAGCGCCTAGCGATTTTTTAAACACGGGTTGATAGGTTAAGTGGAGTATTTCTCATGGTTTCATCGTTTTTGATAGTTTTATTTGCCATAATTTTTGCCATGTAATATAGTTTTGACGAAATAATGAAAAAGGAATTTGATTTTTTATTTATTTAATCCATTTTACGATATCGATTTATAATATTTTATTAGTGTTAAGGTAATATTTTAGAAATCACCAAAACAATAGCCGATAAATTATTAATATCAGAAATCTTCTCCAAAAGTTGTGGACTAGATTTAACACTTGACAAATCGTCTTTACATGTGTTTCCATCGGCCATTGCTGCTGAGACTCTAACATTTAAGGAGACATTGTCCTTTGTTGCCAAAGCTTTGAGGGCGGCATCAAAATTGGTAAGTGCAATATTATAAAGGTCTGAACATTCAGCATAAATTTTCTTAGAATGAGGATCAGTCGTGCTTTTAACGAGTGATTTAAATTGCGTGCTTATGTCTAAGGCATCTCGTGACGCATAGTTGATCAAAAACTTTGCGACACCGGGAAGATCCAGTGTTTTTGTTTCAGGAGTCGACTTAAAGAACATGAAACAGAATGATGGATTAGCTGATTGCGAACAGAGATTACTGACCTCACTTTCTGAAATTTTCATACTGATCATTCCATATGATGAGGGAACAAGAAGTAAAAGCATTACTAACGGAACGAATAGATAATTGTTTTTGACATACACAACCATATTTATTTTATGTTTTTAATATGAAGATTATGTTTCTTGTTACATGAGAATTATTGTGAGATTTATATAGACCACACTAAACCATATCTACACTTGAAAGTAAATTTCAACATATTGTTTTTTGGTCAAACGTGTTTGATTATGTACCATAGTAAGGTGATGTTCTTTTAACCATAAGGTGATTATAGTGTACCACTGGTGATTTTGTTTTTACCATATTAACGTCATTAAATCAATAGCATTATATTGCCAAATAAAAACGTCAACTGCATTATGTCAAAGCATTTTATTTTGTTCTAGAGCAATAATGTCGGAGCATCCAATATTCTGGCAGTGTATATATATAGATAGATATTCTGCTTTGCAATACTCCTTCTATTTTAAATTAGTTATCAAGTTTTTTCACGGTTATTAAGAAAACATTCAATTTTTCTGTTTTATCCCTAATTCATGTATTGTTTTACGTGGTATCATCAATTAATAAGCTAAGAAAATAGAAATAAAATTGGAAAATCTGTCAAAAATATGCATTGTAAACCTAAAACGATATATAATTTGAAACAAAAATTTAACTTCTAAAACGACTCAAAATTTTTAAAATACGCATTTTATTAACACCCAACCCAAAGTTTTTAAAATTTGCAGGTGTTGGAGTGATTGTGGCGGGGAAGAAGCATGATAGGTGGAGTTTGCATAAAGAAAAGTGACGACGGCGGCAGTTATGAGAACATCAAACGCAAACAAGACTTGGCTGATCCCGATAAGCAAATTGCTGCAATATAAAGATTGAACAGAGAGAACCAAGCTATGACTGGAGGTAGACCAAACAAGTTTAATTTTTTTGAGTCGCTACGTTGTTAGATTCTGTATCGCATGTACCTTATCTATTATTGTGCTGGTGTTACTTTTTATTGAGATTACATGTATATTTAGGGTAATGTGGGCAAATATTGTTAGTGCTACTGCTAGATCCCAAACCGAAAGTTTAGTACACGGAAAGGAATTTCCACGTCAAGAAGCCATCAAGGATCGAGTGACCCTCGGTCATAAATGACATCATCAAAGGCCAGAGCTCGGAAGCTTCAGTGGGGAGTTCGCGGGAAGGAAACCAGTTAGAGAAAGAAGTTGAAGCCCAACACTAGCTCTAAGTAGAAAGCCCATGAAAAGCTCGAAGTGAGTCCAAATTAGAAGCTTAGTCAAATTACCAATAGATTCATGCTTTTGTTCTTGAGAGTTTTTGTCCCAATTTTCATTGCAAATTCTCAAGTGTTCGGATTTAGAATCCACATATATTATCATCATTAGGGAGTAAACTCGTTTACTCAAGCATCCAAAAATTGAATGCAAGTTTGTTTTCCAAAGAGGCTAAATGAGATTTCTGGTTTGGCAAGCGTTTGCTAGGAAGGGATACGTGACATGCCCATTTACTATCCAGATTATTAACTTTGAGCGTAAAACTACATTGACTTAAACAAAATTAGTCAACCGTTTGTTTTCGCTCATATAGACGTCACGATGGCGACGAGGTATCATTTTATCTTTGTCAAATAACATCTTTTTGGTATTTGAATCTATAAAATGAACTGAACGATGTCATTTTAGTCATTTTAGTCCATAAACTCAACGAAACGATGATGTTTGATAAAGACAAAATAACACTGGTAAAGATAAAACGATACTTCGTTGTCACCGTGTTGAGTTTATGGATTCAAAGGACCAAAACGACGTTACTCCTCGTTGCCATCATGTTGTTTACGTGAATGAAAACAAATGGTTGACTAATTTTGTTTAAGTCAATATAGTTTTACGTTCAAATTTAATAGTCTGGGTAATAAATTTGAATTATTTTAGCGTTGAGGTTAAAAAAAGCACTGTATATTTGTTGAGGTATAAAAACGCACTTCGCAATTTGTTCGGGTTGAAAAACGCCTTATCCTTAGTTAATACACAAATCAGACATATGCACAACATAAACTAAACCGATAAAATTATGAAAATACTGGCCCGAACCAGCCCTGAAATGTAGATGTAAGGTTTCTCCACATGGTACGCCATAGTTTTTTTTGGTTCTCCTTAAAGGTTTCCCCGCACAAGCCAAAGAGAAAAACATATCAAATTCGCAATCAACTAATATGGAAAAAGGTAATGGCAAAATGGAAAACTTTTTTTTTTTTCATTTTAATTTTGAAAATCGCAACTAACAAAACAAAAGGAAAAATATGCTAATAGTTTTCCTATGGAAAATTTATATGATTTTAGTATCTTGGAATCATTCTCGTTAAACCTGAACATAGAAGACATACTTATATAGTTCACATTTCCGTAACTAAATACACTTGGTGAAGTTATAAATAAGAAAGAAATTAAAAACCTACTGGTCTTCTAGTGTCATCTCTAAATTTTTCTCAATTCGTTCTAAAATTATAAATTACTGAAATAGGAAAACTATTAGCATATATATATATATATATATATATATATATATATATATATATATATATATATTTTGTCATCCGAATATTAGTATATTTTCTTGAAAACGACAAAGAAATGGTGGGCTTTTTTTTTTTTTTTGTCGTCAATTACCAATTCATTAGTAAACATCATAATACATTGTTCCACTTGATTACATAACTTGATTGGTTTATTCTTGCACTCTTAGCTAAACTATCAGCAACCAAGTTTGCTTCTCTGGAGATCTTCATAAAGCTGAATGTGGTATCACCGTTGATCATCTGCAGAATGTCTCTGATGTACCTACAGACTGTATTATGATTCCATCTTTCTGATGGTTGTGCAGCTTCCTTCCTTGCTAACAGCTTTTAACATTGAGCCCAAACCAAAACAGTCAATAATTTGAAATGAACATGTTTGGTGGTTAAGTCTTCTAAAATCTCTCAAATCCGAAATATGAAAATATTGTATCATATATATGAACTGGAGAAATATCATTACAGATCAACCGAAAAAAAGAAAACCTAGTTTTTTTGCTAAAACCTAGTTGTATTACCAATTGATAGGTTGTTTGAGGAGTACTTTGCTTATACAAGTAGATTTTGGAAATAAATCTCACCTTTTTGATAAAATCTTTTGCCATCTTATATATTTATAAATGAAAAATAAAGAGAACCAAATTTGATATTTTTTATGTAATTCATTATGTTGATGTATGCAAACTGCAAATCAAACCGCTAATCAAATATCCAATATACATCAAAATTCCTCAATCATATTTTTATGCACTATTTAAATTAATTTTAGATTTATTATATCACGATCCCCACGGTAAAACATGGTCTGCAGTTGGTAATATGTTATCGTTTTACAATCTCAGCTAATTCTTTGGTAATATGTCAGAAATTGACAAGACAATTCCACATACATTCTCAAGAAAATCTATCTTCATCATGAGTTTTGGATCAGGTTTAACATCTTTCAGATCTAAAGTTTTGCAATCATTTGCATTTTGCCGAGCAGCTGAGATCTCAACGTTTAAATAATCAGGATTATGGACCTCTATATCCTTTAGGGCCTCACCAAAAGAGTAAAGAGCTTTGTCGTAGTACTTTGAGCATGAGATGTAACATTCTTTAGTACGTTTATCGGTCGTGCTATTAGCAAGTAATTGTAACTGATTATGTGTGTCTAAGGCATTTTGTTGCGCATGATGTATCAAATATTTGGCAGTGTCAGAAAGATCAAGCTTTTCAATTTTAGGATCTGACTTGAAAAACTTGTAGCAAAATGAAGGGTTCGATGTTGGTGATGAGCAAATGGTTTGGACCTCACTTTGTGTAACTGCGAAGCTTAATCTTGTAACTGAAGAGAAACCAAAAAGAATAAACACAATTAGAAGAGAAAAAGAAAGGTTGTGTTTTTGGTATGCAACCATTTTATATATCCTTAGTTTCAAGATTTTCTTCTTATTTTTTTTTTTTAATTTTTTTTTACAAATGATGGAATTCCTGTGTGAGAGTTATATAGGTTCAATTAATTAGTAGATTTATAGAATTTATGTTCTCAAAATAAGATTATGTCAAATATTTTTATATTGTTCTATTTTTGGCTCATCCATATGGTATAGTTTTTAAAAAAATTAGATGTCATTTGTTGTCTGCATATTTTTTTACAGAAAAGAAGCTATATGCAAAATAATGGGATTAATGACCACAGATCTTATCACCAGAAAATGTGGCCTCATGCAATACTTGGTGTAAGAGGCTCACGTACGTGGCAAACTGGTTAAACATGTAGTAGTCAACGATATATTTCCTTATTGACCGCTTGCTCCAAATTAGGTAAATCATCTCTACTCTTAATAGTTTCATTTTGTAGGAAACATGTGCTCGTCGTAATGAGCTTCATGTTCCTGATTGCACGAAATATCTGATGGAGATCTTGAAGAGACTATCAGATAGATATTATATTCCAACAAAACTGATTTATTATTATTTGATGATGAATATATTCATTTCAAGAATAATCTAAGCTGGTTGGATCAGCTTCGAAGAAGATCTATTCATCAACACAATTCATCTAAGTTTTTAACAACACAGATCTTCATGAGATAGCAAATTTAATTTGGAGAGTTTGACGCTTAAAATATAGAATCTCTATATTTGTATCTGTTGTAGGTTTTATTCTTGTCGGAGGCACTGTGTTCTTGCCCAAGGTTCCAAGATTTATTGGCTTGAAATTATGTAAGGGTGTGGTCGGTGACCCACGTGGCAGTAAAATAAAAATTACAAAAAATAAAGGTTTCTTAATTTCTTAATCTCCGATACACTGTTTCACAAGAGATTGAACCACCGGCACATCACCGATTCATCAACTCTCTCTCACAAGCGACACATACGTCACTGTACATTCATCAAACAATGCATAAAGCCTAACAAATGAGAAAACTATTCACATATAGGAGTCATTATTCACACGTGCCAACATTAGTTTCTTCAAGCTTCTTCTCTCGCATGTGTGGCTTCCTCTGCTTTCTTCTTTCTTGTATACACATTCAGTGGCTTATCAGTTTCATACCCAACGGAGATAATTCAACCACAGCAATGTGCAACCTTTTCCCGTTCTATTCAGTACTTCTGTTTAGTTTTGGTTCGGTCTTCCCTTTTATAAACAAAACTAGGATTCAACCCGCGGTTCACCGCGGACCTCAGTTTTATACGGTTTTCTTATAAGGGATTTGATTATGTTTTATATACATAATTTATAAAATATGTTTTTTTATTTTAATCCTTTATAAATAATTATTGGGATGTAGGTTTATGTTTGGTTTATATTGTATTTTACAAAATGAATATAAGTTTTTTGTGGTTGATTAATCATTAGTTAGTAGAAGGCATTATAGTGTAGTTAGATAGAAGTGTTAAACCATATGTTTATTTGTGTTAAATTTGTTAATTTACTATAATAAAAGTATGAAAGAAAAGTAAAACTTAAAGAACTATAAAATTTTTTAAAAGAATATATATATATATATATATATATATATATATATATATATATATATATTGTGTATTATAAAAAATATATTTTAAAATGACGTAAAGTATAATTATGCATTTTGGAATAATTGTTTTTATGGAATACCAGGGTAAATATATGGGACTGTTGTTTTTTTTTCAACGGGACTGTTTTGAATATTTCAAAAATGTAAGCTAATTTAGAATTTTTTTAATAAGTTTAATTACTAAATGTACCAAAAGTATTAAATCTAACACTAAACGTTGGGACTTAGTTTTACACTCTATATAAGGACGGGATGGTTTAAATGAAATAAATGTAATTGGTGAAATAAATTAGTATTTTTTTTAATTAAAGCCAAAAAAAATAAAGAATTGTAATTTGTAAACATTGGTTTTTAGTTTTTTTGCTAATGGAGTAATGGTTTTAAAATAAAATTGCAAGAAAAAAAAAGGAAAATAAATGCCCAATCTAAAACCAGTAATGTATTTGGGTCCAGCCCATAATAAAGAAATTAATTAGCCCAACCCAAATTTAAAAAAACAAATCGAACCAAATACATCAATTATATCGAAGGAAAATCTCACAGACGAACCAAGGAAGAAGACGAAGCATCAGTGCAATAGTTGATTGAATCAAGAACTCTGATCTCACTAATAATTGGTCAGGGAAGCGATGCTTTTTAGAACCAGCTCTGGAGCATCTCAGAAGCTAGTCTAGGGTTTAATTCTCGAAAGCTTGAAGACCGGTTCCTAATCGTCGCGTCCATGGAAGAGAGGATGGAGTTGACTGAACGAAATTGCTGACGGTGTAGTCTCATATTGCTCTCCGACCAGATTGAATAAATCGGGCACTGCCAAACTAAGATAGTAAGTTTTTTCTGCAATTTCGATCCCAGAGTTGTTGCATATCTTTTGTTCTTAGTTACTAAAGCAATCTCTTGTCGACAACACACCTATCTTTTATTTGAATCCATTTTTTCGATTCCCAAAATCATTAACAATAAAATTAAGAACACACCAAGACATTGTCTCAATTAAATGATTATTAATCAAATTCATTGGTTATTAACATAGATATATGAAAAGATTGTTCAACATATATGAAATTACTTAAAATGCAAACAAAAATTTGCAGACACATAAACCAAAACATTAAATAAAACAATTGAAAACATTGACAAAAAAAAAAAAAAAAAACAATTGAAAACTCTTGAATTTTCATTAGGACCACAACAAATAAAGGCATCCGTACCTTGTGAGCTTGTTTGTTAGAAGAAGCAAACTCTTGAGTTCCTAAAGGAATAAGATTTGTTTGTACTAACATAAGTCAAATTTGTTCAGTCTTCAAAAGAAGCTACATTCCCAACATTACCTCAAGCTATAACAAAAAATTAAAAGGTCAATAAGACGATTATAATCAAGTAAATAGATATTGATATTAATCGTGTTAAAAAACCAAGATCAATATTTTCTCACGTATCATAGCTTCTGCCCTTACGGAAAATATAGAATTCTCGATTCCAGTGGAGAATCAGATTGTCTTATACTCAAAGATGCTAAATTTGGTCGGTCTTCGAAAACATTACATTCCTTCAACTGTAACAAAAAATAAGATACATGTCAATATGATGATTAGAATCATAATAGCCCCGTTAATTTTGTATTTGCAAGAGATCTAAAAACAATAATCCTCACATTTGAACTGTCCTAAGCCTAACTTCCGTATAATAATAAACATAAAGCGAATACACATAAAGCGATGCAATTTGACTTTGTTATAAACTCACATTTTGTTTCTTTGTCACATATGAGGTTAGTAGTATCTTAACTACATGTAAAGATTGGAACCAGTATCTCAAGACGTTTTGTACGGCTTCACATCATCAAGGAAAGCAATTGATTGAGACATTGTAAGAAAGAGAGGAATGAGTCATTGGTGTGAATAGAGGTAAGTTCTGGATGAGTAAGAACTGAGAAAAAATGTTTGATATTTATAGTGAATTAGAAGGCTAGGGTTGTTAGCTCAAAAAATTTCGAAAATCTTGGAGACGAAGCATAAAATATTGGATATGTTAACTTTCATATATTCTTGATTGATATCAAATTAAATGATACACAATTTTAGGGAAAATACGGATATTGTATAGCAGTTTATGGTTAGGATTAGATTAGATCATATATTTTAGAAGATTTGTTTAGTAATTAGTCGAGATTTGGAAAATATTTGTCATATTGTGATCGAATATACCTTTAATTAGATACCAAATATGTTGAATGGTTAGGATTGCATCTCTGTTTTGTGAAAATGTTAAAACCCGATTAGTGATTCGATTAATGATTTGGATATATTTGATTCATTTAACACCCGAATAATTAACACGCGGATCCTCTAATGTTTAATGAGATTTTTGACCAAATTACCCCTGACGATTTTGATTAACAATGTACAAAATCCAAAATTGAAATTGAAATTGAGGCCAAATTAGACTATTTTTCAATTTGTACTTCCCTTTTAATAATAAGGGGATAGAATAATTTTTAGTTTAGTTATGATTTCAATTTTGTTTCATGCAATTTCGGTTTAGTTTGATTTGACTTTCCGTTTGGTTTTAGTAAAAAAAATTAAAACATACATTATACAATTACAATTTGATGAAAAAAAACTAGTTAATTTTTGGAAGTTAACTTTGACGGTTGATTTTATTCTTCTTCCCTCTCTTGAAAGACTATAATTCCGTATGGAACTGAACTTTAAAATCGGAATTATAGTCTTTCAAGAGAGGGAAGAAGAATAAAAGACTAAAAAGCAGTAATATTATTGATTTTGGAACTGAACTTTAATAAACTAAGAGTTAAACAAATCAATAACTTATTATATAAAGATGAAAAGTCAACAAAAATAATCAAAATATAAGCAAAACATAAGAAAAATAAAAGGAAAAACGTTAGAAAATATAACAAAAGTTGAAGGTTCAAATTTGAGATATCAAATCAAAACAATGGTTTTCAATTATTAATTAGTAACTACACGAAAGGGAAAAGTAGCCATCGTTTCCAGTTTTTATTTTTTTATCTTTGCTTTTGTCTATCTAGTTTATTTGAAGTTTTGCTCTGCTTTTGGAATGGTAATAGATTTTCAGATATATATTTTTTTAAGTTTTGAAAATTTTCTCTTTGATTTTGAAGCGAGTTAGCGTCGGTTTATAAACCGACTTACAGTAATGCTGGTCCATGAACTAATAAATGGCTCTAAAAATGAGAAGCGTGTTACTAGTTAGTTAGATTTTGAAGACTTGTCAAATTTTCTCGACGCTTTGCTTCGATTCCTTTGAAATCGATCGATCATATGCTTCAGATTAGGATTTGTATTTACATTCAAAGGCGTAATCATATCCCAGTTTGCTTGATCGATTCAAATGCTTCTCTTCTCAAATTGCGAGATCTATAAGATATGTATAGTCGAATTGTTTGAGGATCGTTTTATCTAGAATAGAGGAAATTGAGTTATGCAAGTGAGTAAATTAGGGTTTATGTCAAACTTATTCTTCAATTTCGTTTAGAGATTGAGTGTTTTCAGATTTGATGTTATAAAAGTTGACTAGTAACACATGTTATAAAAGTTGAATTGCACTCGATGTTATAATTTGATGTGTTTGCAGTAAAAATTTATGTGGTAAATATTTTTGGTAGTTAACAATGTAAGTTGCGATGAAATTAAGATTCAATATATATATATATATATATATATATATATATATTTCTATTTTGATTATTTTATATAGTTATTTTTTGCGGAATTATAGAAGATATGTTGGAATAGATGACTTGGAACTTCATCTTCGAGCCATGCGCCATGGCATCGACCAGAAGTGGACGGATAAGTCAGAATGTGGTTTAAGGCTCCGTAGGCATTGTGACTTGCAACTGGCTCAATGTTTGCTTCTTCTTTTTTCCCTTCTCTCTTTTTGGTTATAAATGTTTGTTGAACCAAAATACCATAGTGATATTGAGTTTTGGGACATAATAATTGCACTAGCGATCCAATTTTCTGAAATCATATTTGACTTAAAGCCATCAACTTGCTATTATAAGGATATAAGATAACGATTCCAACAAACAAATTGATCATTAATTCTGTATAAGTTATGAAACATTACATTAACCGAAAACTAAGATCATAAGGTTATATATATATCAAGTTACTTTTTCTCTAATTAAGGTTTTCAAATCTCATAAAAAACCACACTAAACTGAAGATCCAGCCTGAATCAGACCTCATGAATTATTATCCATAACTCTCGGGTCACCACGGCTCCTGACCTCCTAGGCTCCTACCCATTTTAGGATCCACCAAAACAAGAAAAGAAGCGATTAACGCTACTTCCAGGAGTGGTAGGTTTGTGATATACGTGAAGCAAGGTATTTACTATGAATATCTTGAGATTCAAAATACGAATGTTATGCTGAGAGGTGATGGTAAAGGGAAGACGATTATCACCGGACGCAGAAGTTTTGTAGGAGGAACGACCACGTCAGCTAGGCCAGGTGCAAACAACAGACAAGCGGTTGCTCTAAAATCCATGTGGATCGATCTGTTTTCTATTAATGCAGTTTTGAAGGCTCATTTATGTTTCACTCCAACCGCCAATTTTACCGCAATGGCGAGTAGAATAGCGGACGAATATAGATTGCAATTCTGAAAGACAACCACCGCATGACCAAATATAAAGTCTACCATACCATATACGTCACATGATAGTGTGTACATATAAAATATCTTGGTAGCCATCAATACTGCACTTGTAGAAGATCAATGCCATGACTTCCCCATTGATCGGACCAGTCATGATTTGAATAGTCATTTTACGCCGATAAAGTTTAGGCCTAATGCAGTTTCCCATCCCATTTTTACTCACAGTCATAGACTCATAGTGGCACTAATTTTAATGCCATCAACTTCATTTTTGAAAACGTTTTTGTTAGTTAGGCTGGGTTATGCTCGAAAGTCAGCCATTTTATCATAACTCAGACAGATTTCAGTAAGTCAGCCGTAACTCCAGGCTGGGTTATACTCGTAAGTCAGCCGTTTGCTCATAACTCAGCCATTTTTCTTAAATCAGCCGCAACATACCGTAACTCAGCCGTCACTGCCGCTATATCTTGATTGGACGTATTTCAAATCTTTAGAAATTTTTTTGCTTTGTAAAGACTCTAAAGCACTTGCCAATCAAGCCCTACAATTCTATCCATACGTTAGAAGTATTGATAACTTACCAAAAAAAGAGCAAAAAATAAGAAAAAATCAAGAAACAAATAAGCAAAACATAAGAGAAAATTAAAGGACAATGACAGAAAATTAAAAATATATTGAATTAAATTTGATACATCAAAAAGTATGATTATATGAAAATATCAACTACACTAAAATTGTAGCAACACAAAAGCCTTCAAAAAGAATTATGTGTATAACGATCGTCCTTGTGTCAGGGATTAGACTTGATTACATATGAAATGGCTAATTATCTACTTCTTGCCCATGGTAAACTAAGATCAGGATTCAGTTTATATATCTAGTCACTTTTTTCTCCAATTAAGGTTTTCAAATCTCATAAAAACTACACTAAAATTGAAAGATTAAACAATTTCATACAATACTCCAAAAATATAAAATTACTAAATTATCCATCATTGAATTTTTTGAAGCCTTTTTGTAGTGGCATGGGTTATAGATATTATCAACTAAAGCTTCATTTTAATCGAAAAACTTATCAATTTCTATATAGACGGTTTCAATTATAACATGTATAATAATTTAGTTTGTCCTCTTGCAAACAATACAATTAATCAGAGCAAACACATGATGAAGATTTAAAATTAATTACGTGGTAACATGTTAGAGATAACAAGAGCAATACCACAAAGATTCTTAATTGCTTTACTGTTATTCACAACCGAATAATCTACTGATCTCAATCTCTTCACATCATCTAAACATGTATCAGCACCATCCAATGCAGCAGAAACTTTCATGTTCATCCCCATGCCATCTCCTGAAGCTAAATGCTCAAAAGCTTCCTCGAGGTTTCCAATCGCGCTCTCGTATTCATCTAAGCATGACCTGTAAGCTAATTTAGATCGAGGGTCGACTCCTCCATCGATAATAGATTGGAGTTTTTTGAATGTTTGTGTTGCTCTTGCTTGTGTAGCATCAAGTGTGGTTTTTGCCAAGGCTTGAAGATTAGGAGATGCGAATTTAGTATTGAGGAATTTAAGACAGAAAGATGGGTTTAAGGTTTTGTCACAGATTGTGCTCATTTCTGAACTTGTGATTGCGTATGAGGAACCGATTAAGAGAAGAAACATAAGAGAAGACAAGAACGCATTGTTCCTTAGATTCGCAGCCATTCTTGTTTTCTCTTCTTATTTAGTTTTTGTTCAAGTTTATGGTAGAAAACGAATTTCAAAGCAATGAGTATATATATAGAGTAATCTACGTACAACGCATTAGTCAAAAACAGAATCAAGAATAGAAGTTGATATGAGCGATGAAGAAAGTTTTTACCATGGTTAGAAGAATTGCAAATATAGTAATACAGTTATCGATAATTTATGGTATTTATCTTTCTCGATAAATATTAAGAGTAGATGATGATATCATCAAACTATAGTGCTTAATTAATCATGGAGCTAATTAAGTGAATGTTGAATATTTATTAAGGATCAGGCTTAACACGAATCTGAACATATGAAGAACACTAACGAATTAAAACAGTATAGGACAAATCCATTACCTAGTAATAAAGGACAAATTGAAGGCTAAACCACAGAAAACCGAACCAAAATCTAACCCGGTTAAGATATCGATTTGGCTTGTCGTAGGTGGCTCTCTCCTTTAAGGTCGTCCTAGCGTGGGTTTGGATTAGATACATAAGAAATCAAAACCGTAAATCAAAAAACTAAACCAAAACCAAATAAAACCAAACTAGACCAAAGTGTGACATACCTTGTTCCCTTTAGATGTGAATGGGCTTGTCATAGGTGGCCATGGCAGCTTCCTTCAGAGCCTCGCTCATAGTGGGATGAGCGTGACAGACTCGAGCAATGTCTTCACTTGATGCATCGTAGTTAATCGCAAGAACCGCCTCATGAATAAGTTCTCCAGCGTTTGGCGACATAATGTGAACGCCCAAGATCTTATCGGTCTCCTTATCAGCCAGAATCTTAACCAATCCTTCTGCATTATCAATGGCCTTCGCTCTGCTATTTGCCATAAACGGGAATTTTCCAACCCGGTAACTCACACCTTCTTTCTTCAGCTGTTCTTCGGTTTTACCAACCGAAGCAACCTCAGGATGAGTGTAGACAACACCAGGAACCTTGTCATAATCCACATGACCATGTTTGCCTGCTATGAATTCCACACAAGCAACACCGTCTTCTTCGGCTTTGTGAGCAAGCATTGGTCCTGGAATCACATCTCCAATAGCATACACGCCTGGGACATTGCTCAAGAATCTCTCATTCACCAGAATCCTCCCAGCTTTGTCAGTTTCCACTCCGATTTTCTCCAGATCAAGTCCAGATGTGAACGGTGTTCTTCCTGCTGAGACAAGGACAACATCGGCTTCCAGAATAGTCTGCTCTCCTCCTTCTGCCGGTTCCACTGTAAGCTTCACACCGTCAGAGGAGGAATCCACAGATACAACTTTAGTCTTGAGCATGAACTTCATCTTTTGCTTCTCAAGTGAACGTTGAAACTGCTTACGAATTTCACCATCCATCGAAGGAACGATATCCCCAGCAAACTCAACTACCGTGACCTCTGACCCAAGCCGACCCCAAACAGAACCCATCTCAAGCCCAATATACCCCGCACCAATAACAATCAGTTTCTTCGGGACTTCCGACAGAGACAACGCTCCAGTCGACGAAACAATCTTCTTTTCATCAATCGTAATACCAGGCAAAGACTTAACATCCGAGCCAGTAGCAACAATGATGTGTTTACCTTTGACAACGGTGTTCCCTCCATCGATCGTCTCCACCGAGACTTCATTTGGTGAAATAAACTTACCATATCCCTTGACATAAGTCACCTTATTCTTCTTGAACAAACCCTCAATACCACGAGTAAGGTTCTTAACCGCATTATCTTTCTGAGCTAACATAGCAGGAAGATCCACCTCAACCGAAGAGACCTTAATACCATGGTTAGCGAACGCATGCTTCGCCTCATGGTACATATGTGAAGAGTGAAGAAGAGCCTAATACATCAAAAACACACACAAGGATTGTAATCAAGAAGACGAATCCAGAATTTAGTAATTATGGACTAAGTGTGCTCAAGCAAATGATAATCATCACAAAAGACAGTAATTAGCTCTCAAAATTGATTAATCCACAAAATTCACAGATCAAAATCGTCAACGATGATAAACGAATTGATTGAAGAAACGAGAGGAGAATTTTCGAATTTGACCTTCGAAGGAATGCAACCGACGTTAAGACAAGTACCACCGAGAGCGCCGCGTTTCTCGATACAGGTGGTTTTGAGACCAAGCTGAGCGGCTTTGATCGCGGCAACGTAACCGCCGGGACCGCCGCCGATGATGACGACGTCGTTTTCATCAGATCCTGATGAGGCGAAGCCACGGGAGAGGGAAAAGGAGAATCTGAGTGCGTCAGTGGGAGAGTTGGATAAGTTTCTGGTGAGAAAGTACGCCTTCCTCCTAGCTAAACTCGCCATCGCCATTGTTGTTAGAGAGAAAGAGGACTTGGCTCCTTGTAGAGACGAACAGAACAGAGCCGGCAAATGTAAAGAGAGGCTCTTAAAACCCTTTTTTCTCTCTTTTAATCACAAATATTTTAATATTTCCTTAATTGACCAAATATATATAATAAGTAAATAAATCATTTATCTCAATTATGTATACTAAATATTTGAAATTTATTACAAAGTTACCTTAATGCACATTTGATTTGTTTATTTTTTTGTCAACGACATTTGAATCACTTTCATAAGATTTATTCATTCAAAATCCACATATGTAAAGAAAAATACCAAAAATATTTATGTATATGTAAAGAAAAATACCAATATTGTAAAAGTTATCAAAATATATACATTCATTTCTTATTAAAAATAACTGAAATATATAATAAAAATATATGGACATGAAGATTCTTGGAGGAGAAGAAGAAGATAAAGAGATAAAGATAAAGATGATGAGAAACAATGAACATAAGGTTAGGATTGAGGCTTTTGAGAATTGAGATAAAACTCCAAAACCTTTCATAGTCCACAGAAACTCTCGAACTCCACAGATATGGGAGAGAGATTCTTAAACCAAAACTCATGCTCTCAGACAAAATCTAGATTCAAAATAGTTAAATTAAAAATCCTTAAACCAATCAATAATGGGTACAACATAACTAATCCTCAAGAACAAAAATGAAATCCTCATTATCAGTTTCAATAATCCTACCAAAACTTCAGGCTGCTTTTTCTCTCTAGCTCTCTCTCTCTAAAACAACCAAAAAAACAGATCAATCAAAAATGAGTAACCACATTACAAACATGCCCTTAACTCTCTACCACTCTCTCTAAGTCTCTTATTTTATCTCATCATCCAATAGAATCTCAAATTAGAGAAATAATTGTTTGATCGGTAACACCCGATCCCTGTTGTTTGTATATACCGCCAAAAAAACTGCTTTCACTCGCCTCCAAGCATTGCTTGTAACCGAGCTCGGGCTTCATCAGAAACACAGAATCTTAATCTTCTCCTCTGCGGTTGTTTAGGTGAAGACGGGACTGAGGAGAAGCAGATGACTACAACCGTCATATTATCTGATGAGTTAAGCCTAGCTGCTTCTTTTCCAAGTTCCATCGCACATTGTCTCGGGTCACCATGCCTCCTTAAACCTTGCCTTACATTACTCACTGCATTCTGGCTTGACAACACATCCCATATACCATCACATGCCAAAATCAAGAACTCGTCGTCCTCTGTTAGAATGATCTGTCGAATCTCTGGGTCAGAAATCAGTGGTGAAGAAGAATCAGTGAAAGGATTCTTCAGTTCCCAATCCCCAATAGCACGGGTGACAGCAAGGACCCCATTGAGGTATCCGTCTTCAAAGTATCCTCCTAAATCCTCAATCCGCCTTCGTTCTGGCTCATATGTTGATCTGTGATCGAAAGACATATCAACAGCCACTCCTCTCCTACATAGCACTGCACGGCAATCTCCAGCATTAGCAACCAGAAGATGTCGTCCAATTATCAGAGCGGTCAACGCGGTTGTCCCGCATGATCCACTGACAATGTTTTCATCAGCCATGGCAAGATCAGCCAAAGCAAAAGCCTTTCGGTGAGAATTCTCCAGTTCTTCTAAGAAAAACGCGTCCACAATGGAGGGCATCTCTGGAAATACAGCATCTTGAAAAAACAATCTTGTCAAGTTTTCCTTCATGAAAATTGCTGCCTCAGGTCCACCATGTCCATCAAACACGCCATAAAAAGCACTTGGTACCGAGAAGTTAAAGGACCCAAGATGAGCTGACAAGTCATCTATGCAAATGTGTTCATCCTCCATGGTTTCTCGGCTTCGAATGTCAGCAAAGCTCCCTGAACGTATAGTTGGAATAAACTCACTGGTTGATTCTCCAATGGTAGTAGTTACACAACTCATGCCCTGTTACAACAAATGTACATTTAAAAATTTGTTAAATATTACTGAACTTCGCACAAGTAAATAAACAGAACACCCAGAACAAAGCAAAATCAACAATCCAAAGGGCATTAAAGTCGTTCCTCTAACAATGTAAAATTGATTCATGAACACCTAAACTAATTCTTCATAACATAGTAAAGGTATAAACTTCCCAAAGCACAACACTAATCTTATCATTTTGCATTGTCTACACGAATCTAAACGAAGAGGGTAAGGAGGATTCAACATTATTATGCTACAGAGAAAGAAAAAAAAACCAAAACTAATATAAGCCCTGATGCAGAATTGGATCATTATCAGAATTTCAAACAACGATCTAATCTCAAAACCTAATTATAACTCCTAATCTAAACGAACAAACTCAATTATGAGGAAAACAAATCAACATGATCCATTTCAAGGGAAATTTCTAAGAAACCCAATAAATAAAAATGAGCGATTTTTAGAATAAGAAACCAAAACACATACCGATCCGAATCGAGGCGTTTCAGCGGAACCCGAAATCTCAGCACGGACAGACTCAGAAACACGAACTTCGTCGATCTGAAAATTCTTCTGATCTTTAGCAGCGGAGATATGGCACTTAACGTCAAGAACCCTGATCTCAGCCTCAGCAACCATTGTTTGACTCAAAATCATGACTTTGTTTATAATCAAATGGAGCAGATCCAATTGCGAATTTCACCGAAAGGTAAATCGAAGAATAAATCCACGAAATTTTGGGGGTGGAGCCGTGGAGGTGCTTTGCTTGGACGCAATTGAAATTCGCCTAAAAGAATAAAGAAGAATACAGGAAATGGGGAATTAGGGTTTGGTTTCTGTGTTGGATGTTTATTTGCATATTTCTGAATTGACCCATGCCTATATTAAAAATTTAAAATATAATAATAAAATAAATGTATTGAAGAAAAAAGATTGGTTTTAAATATTGGGAAAATTAGATTGGGTACCACGTTTGGCCTAAAATTTAGGTCCAGTATTATTTTCGAAGTCCATTTATCACTCATACCACAATTGAGGTGTGTAATGACCATTTTGCCCTTCATTTTGTTTGCTCAAATTTCGGGGACAAAATTCATAGTTTGAGCACACAAAAAGAAGTTTACATACCGTTGTCCCCGAAGTTTGAGTTTTTCCATAATTTCATCTTATTTTTGCATGTTTGCTGGTTTTTGTCCCTCAATTTTAATTCATTGTTCTTGGATTTTAGTATGTAAACTCTAATTGCGGTATTTTTATTTGTTTGATGTTTATATTTCGTTTGATGTTTATATTTCGTTTGATTATTGTCCCCGAATAGATTTTTTGTCCCTAGATACTTATTCCTAAATGTTACACTTTATCTGCCACATCCGCCGAGGGCAAAACCGTCTTTTTCATACCATAATACCACATGAATGTGGTACAAGTGGTAAATCATTCTCCATTATGGTAGAGATGCTAAGATATTTGAAAAATGTGGTATATTTGGCAAAAATCTCTTTAATATTTATGTTAGACTAAAAATAAAATGAATTTTTCAACTTTTAAATTTTGTAACCCCAGCTCCAAAATCTTTTTTCGTCGGAAAGGTTTATTATATCAATGGTGAATCTGAGTTTCGTAAAAAATTACATTCGGTGAAATTAGGCTTTATGGACTTTTACTTAGATATTCAGCCCAATGGGCCTATCTCATTTTAATACCAAGTTAGAGTCAGTCAGCCTATTTTCAAAAAAAAAAAAAAAATCCTTCGTCTTCTTCGATTCATCATTTCTCTTTTTCTTATTCTTCTTCTTCTTCTTCTTCTTCTTCACCTTCCAGCACAAGTTGTCAATGGCACGAAATCGGGTACACTTCCGTCGAAATATACTTCGTTACATTTCTAACTTCGTGATTTTTTCTAGGTTTTCGTAAGAATTCAATTCATGAAAATCTCACCTTCTGTTTGATTTCCATCGATGTTTCTTTTTCCACTTAGTTTCGTGCATGTTATTCTCCATTCCTACTGTATTAACTTGATTTTGAATTCGTTTTATGCATATAGGGATTTAAACAATTGCTACTGTCCCTTGTTTACTGTTGATATCTCATCTTATTCATCTCGCTAACTGCTCTTGGACTAATTTAGGGTTTGAATTTTTCATTTCATTTGTGAAACTAGTCCTGATCGATTTGATTTCTAATTCTATGTGTGTGTGTGTTCGTCGAATCAGGAGGGTTTGGTTTTGGTGCTCGATGTTGGTCCTGCGATGCATAGTGTTCTCCCAGATGTTGAAAAGGCATGTTCAATGCTACTGCAGAAGAAGGTAAAAGATCTTTTTCTTCTGAAATTATTGTTCATGAATTTGGATCTTTCATTATTGGTTTTGGTTTGTTGTTGCAGTTGATTTACAACAAGTATGATGAAGTTGGAATTGTTGTATTTGGAACTGAAGGTCTCTCTATCTCTTCTTCTTCCTGTATAAATCTTTTTATCCACAAGTTTTATTGATACTCTTTCTTTCCTGAAGCGTGTTGTCTGATGCCGTTGATGTTCGATTTTGAAATGTAAACTAGTAATCTATCGTCTTTAGTACTGGAATGGTTGATATGGTTTCTTTCTATGAGTATTATCGGCTATTTGATGTACTTTGAGAATAATGTTTCATGTGACCTCTGCAGAAACCGGAAACGAGCTTGCTAGGGAAATAGGTGGATATGAGAATGTTACGGTTTTAAGGAATATCAGAGTTGTTGATGAAGTAGTGGCTGAGCATGTAAAACAGCTCCCTCGAGGAACTGTAGCTGGTGATTGTATCCTGATAGCTATTTTACAGCTTATTTTGCCGTTTTCTTTCGTTTATTTTCCTTGGTTCTTTGACTGGCTTCAGTTCTTGATGCTTTGATTGTTGGGATGGATATGCTTATAAAGATGTATGGTAATGCACAAAAGGGGAAAAAACGGTTGTGTCTCATCACGAATGCAGCTTGTCCTACCAAAGATCCATTTGAAGGGACGAAAGATGATCAAGTCAGTACTATCGCTATGAAAATGGCTGCGGAGGGTATTAAGATGGAAAGCATTGTTATGAGGTCCAATTTAAGTGGTGATGCTCATGAGAGAGTAATAGAGGAGAATGATCATCTGTTGAATTTATTCTCCAGCAACGCGATTGCCAAAACAGTGAATGTTGAGAGTCCACTCTCACTGCTTGGTTCCTTAAAGACCCGGAGGGTTGCTCCAGTTACTTTGTTCAGGGGTGACCTTGAAATTAACCCAACAATGAAGATTAAGGTAACGTTTTTTGGTTGTGTCTTTTGCTTGTTCTGCAGTGTTTATAGATATCATCAAACTTGCTGTTCTTTGGTGTTATTCAGTACTTAAGTTCATTCACGTTTATATGATTGTTCATGAAATTTTCTGAGAAGAAGAATCTGAATTTGTAGGTGTGGGTTTATAAGAAAGTGGCTGAGGAGAGACTTCCCACTCTAAAAATGTATTCTGACAAAGCGCCTCCAACTGACAAGTTTGCCAAACATGAAGTGAAAATTGATTATGATTACAAAGTTACTGCAGAATCTACTGAGGTTATTGCTCCAGAAGAAAGGATCAAGGGCTTTCGCTATGGACGTCAGGTTATTCCTATATCACCAGATCAGATAGAAACACTCAAGTTTAAAACTGACAAAGGCATGAAGCTTCTGGGATTTACTGAGGCGTCAAACATACTGCGGTAAGCATAAACACATATATCTATGTTTGTCTGTAAACTCTTAGTTCTTAAAGTTTGATAGAACGTTGTTTTTGTGTTTTTCTCTGCATGTCAATGAAGACATTATTACATGAAAGACGTGAATATAGTTGTTCCTGACCCGAGCAAAGAAAAATCTGTTCTTGCCGTCTCAGCCATTGCCAGAGAAATGAAGCAAACAAACATGGTAGCAATTGTACGTTGTGTCTGGAGAAATGGACAAGGCAATGCTGTTGTTGGGGTCCTGACTCCAAATGTGTCTGAAAGAGATGATACCGTAAGTTAATGGTTTTATCTGCTCAAAGGAATACTTCTATTTGAATCTGATTATTTACCTTTTTTTTTGCAGCCTGATTCATTTTACTTCAACGTGCTTCCTTTCGCCGAGGATGTCCGCGAGTTTCCATTTCCTTCTTTTAACAAACTTCCTTCATCATGGAAGCCAGATGAACAACAGCAAGCAGTAGCAGATAATTTGGTTAAGATGCTTGACCTTGCACCTTCTGCGAAAGAGGAAGTACTAAAGCCTGATCTTACTCCTAACCCGGTTTTGCAGGTAATACCAGTTTTGTTCCCCTTTGTATAATTGTTGCAGGTAATTTGTCAACTCATATTGATGAAATATTTTATCAGCGGTTTTATGAATACCTTGAGTTGAAATCGAAATCCACGGATTCTGCTTTACCTCCTATGGATGAAACTTTCAAAAGACTTATAGAGCAAGATCCTGAACTCATTTCCAACAATAAATCCATAATGGATTCGTTTCGTGGAAGTTTTGAAGTCAAGGAGAATCCAAAGGTGTGTTCCCCTGAATCATAAGCTTTCAGAAAGGAACCTGAATAATCTCATTCTTAATTCTTTGACATGACTTTCATTGCAGTTGAAGAAGGCTTCTAAGAGATTGTTACGGGATAAACCATCGGGTTCAGATGATGAAGACAATCGCATGATTACTTATGAACCTAATGAGAAAAAAATTGATGTAGTCGGAGATGCAAACCCAATTCAAGATTTTGAAGCCATGATATCCCGCAGAGATAAAACTGATTGGACCGAGAAAGCAATCACACAAATGAAAAACCTAATAATGAAGCTCGTAGAAAATTGTACCGATGAGGGTGACAAAGCATTGGAATGTGTACTCGCTCTTCGTAAAGGCTGTGTCTTGGAACAGGTCTCATTTCTTTTCTCTATCTCTGCATTTGCTCTCAAACCTTTTCCAAGTTCTTTTTTCATGGAGTCTTCTTACATATGTGAGCAGGAACCAAAGCAATTCAATGAGTTCTTGAATCATCTATTCAAGGTATGCCAAGAAAGAAAATTATCTCATCTTCTCGAACATTTCACGTCAAAGAAGATCACATTGATTCCCAAATCCGAAGCAGCGGACAGGTTTGTTATAAACCATCTTCGATTTGATTAAATGTGTTTAAATAACTAAAATTAGTCTGATGAATGTCTTTGTTGGTCGTTGCTTTTAACCAGTGATGTGGTAGACGAGAACTCTGGAGATTTCACTGTTAAACAAGAGCCAATGATCGAGAGCTAACAAAGTCTTCGCTACAGCAACTAACTGATCTTGTGACTGTGTTGTCCGAAATGGCACCGTTTTCTCTCTGATTTTGCCTGTTTAAAGAACTCGGCAATTTTTTTTTTTTTGCCGTCTAATATATGTTATTAAAGAGATGAAAAATATCCCAATACAGAACCAAAAACAGAGCTTGATAAAAATACAAAAACAGAGCTCAACAAGCATTAAAGTACGTAAACAAAAAATTTTCCCAGCAATTTCATCGTCCCTTTTCTGATTCAATTCGCGAAAGTAACCACGAAGGGCCTCCACGAGCTAAGTATGAACGAAATCTTCCATCTCTCGTAACACTCATGGCAATGTCTCTGGCTACCGCATTCGCTTTTTGCGATGAAGTTTTGAAAACTACTTTGCCAAAATTAGGAAGCAACCGATGAATTCTGTCCAAATAAGAATGATACCGTGGCCAATTGGAGGAATCAATAATAGCTTCAATTGCAGCACTACAATCAGACCAAACCTCAATGTTATCCAAATGCAAATCATGTAGGCTGTGTAACATCCATAGAATCCCTCTCAATTCTGCAGCAATGCGGTTCGAGGCTTGTAAAAACATTTCCCTCGCATGAAAGACTGCATCTCCTTGGCTATTCCTGATAATCCAAGCTCCACCACACATAAGAGTATCATTTACCCATGAAACGTGGACATTGCACTTAAGCATATCAATTGGAGGCTTAGTCCATCTGTTTTCACGTCTTAAAGGCTGGTTATTAGTAGTATTAGATAATGTTTGTACGTCCCATAACTTATTCCACACCTCAGCTTCTTCCAAAGCATGACCTACGAGAGCATTCAAATCACCTTGTTTCCCACCATATAACAGTTCATTACGATGCTTCCATATTCCCCATAAAATCCAAGGGATCGCTGTTGGTGTCGGATCCCGCACCAGAAGTACGAGACCAACCAAAGATTGCCACGTAGTCAAGATAATGGCCCATAAAGAATGAAGTCCATTGGACCCAGGAGTCAAAGGAACGGTCGAAGTGGTTGTCACCACTTCGAGAATCCGAAGTGATTACATTGCGACATGAGTTCGATGAAGAAGGCATGGGTAAGATGGTTCAAGGATATTTGGGCCGAAAAGGCGAGGCCCACGAAGATCAGAGTCAACTCAAATTCAAACGTTGAGCATTAAAGTCAAAGAATCAAAACGGACACATTTAAGAGGGAATAATTGTACTTAATTATTCATTTTAATGTCAATTCTCTATGTATAAATATAAAGGCCAATGGCCATGTAAAGGGATCTCTCTCTCAAAAAAAAAAAAAAAGAAATATAGATAACAATTTTCGTAACAATTCACAAGTTTTTATACATTCATTTTTGTCCCTCAAGAATAATCTTTCCCACTTAATAAAATACTTGAGTGTGTGAATCCGACATCCACATTTTGGCGCCGTCTGTGGGGAGAATTAGGTTCTTGAGTGGTCAGATTTTTTCTTTATCACACTTCCGAGATAAGCAACAATGTCCGGAGGAGACGCTGCTGAGACATCATTGGCCGAAACCCTCAAAGCTATGCAGCAAACCATGTCGGACAAATCACAAAAATTCTCGGATGTGGAAAAGGCCGTCGATACGTTGCAAACATCCCAGGTATCTCTTAGTCAAAACGTCAATACTATACAAACTCGTGTTCGCTCTTTAAGTGCAGGAAACCCGGTGGGAATCCGAAGAGGGATATTCAACTCGCCAAGTTCCGCTGCACGAAATGAAACCAGCGGACAAACAACTCCCGGTGCTACTAATAATGTAGCTCAGACGTTGGAAGAAGAGACGCAGCTCGGGGATGAAGAACAACTTGCAGCTCAGTACGAGCAGGAGAACCTCGACCAGTTCGAGACCATGAGGAAGGTTAGCCAGGAGTTAAAAGAAATGAAATCAAAATTTCATCAAGCTACAAGTTCAGAGCCAGACATCAATCGAGTCATTGAAGAAGCTAGGCGAACACCTTTCATCTCGCGAATTGCGAGTTTGAGGATCAAAGATTCCCGGAAACTCAAATTGGACCCTTACAGCGGATTGGAGGATCCAAAAAGCTATCTCGCAGCTTTTCTGATCGCTGCGGGAAGAGTCGAATTGGATGAAGCTGATGAGGACGCAGGCTACTGCAAGCTGTTTTCGGAGAATCTATGTGGCCAAGCTCTAATGTGGTTCACCCAATTAGAGCCGGGCTCGATCAGCAATTTCGACGAACTATCAGCCGTATTCTTAAAGCAATACTCCATCCTTATGGATAAAAGCGTTTCAGATGCCGATCTTTGGAAGTTATCGCAAGGATCTAACGAGTCACTTCGAGTTTTCATCACCAAGTTCAAAGGAGTGCTCTCAAAGCTCCCAAGAATCTCGCAGCAATCAGCTTTATCTGCCCTACGAAAAGGATTGCGACATGATTCAAGGTTTAAAGAAGACTTAATACTTCATAAACCAGACACAATTCAGGATGCACTCTTTCGCGCGAACAACTGGATGGAGGTCGAGGACGAAAAAGAAAGCTTTGCCAAGAGAAATAAGCAAGAAAAGCCAGCAATCACCGTCCCTGCCAGGAAGTTCGAGCCTAGGGAAAGCAAAGGACCAAAGAAGTTTGGGTCGCAACCCTTCAACAATACCGTCGGAAAACAATTCCAAGGGAAAGGAAGATCAAACACTTGGGTCCGTGATGAAAGTCTATATTGCGACATTCATAAAGTAACCGGACATTTAACCAAGGATTGCAGCGTTCTTAAAAAGCACCTCGCAGAGCTTTGGGCTAGTGGCGATCTTTCTAAATTTGATATAAAAGATTTTGTGAAGGAATACCACGAAGCAAAGGAAAACTCCAAAGATCAAGATTCCAAAAGACCAAGGTTATCCAACGAGGAAGAACCAAGGAGTTCGAAGGGTAAGATCAATGTAATTCTAGGAGGTTCCAGATTTTGCGGAGATTCAATAAGTTCCATCAAAAAGCATAGACGAAATATCTTACTCAAAGCAAGCTTGAGCGAAGAAATTGATTTTCAAGGTGCCTCAATATCATTTAACGAAGAAGAAACACGGCATCTCGAAAGACCGCATGATGATGCTCTAGTCATTACTCTTGATGTCGCTAACTTCGAAGTATCAAGGATCCTTATAGATACAGGCAGTTCGGTCGACTTGATCTTTTTAAGTACTCTAGAAAAAATGGGAATCAGCCGAGGAGACATAGTAGGACCTCCATCTCCATTAGTTGCGTTCACAAGCGAGTCGGCCATGTCTCTCGGAACAATCAAGCTGCCAGTCCTTGCCAAGAAGGTATCGAAGATCGTGGACTTCGTTGTCTTCGATAAGCCCGCAGCTTACAACATCATCCTCGGGACTCCCTGGATTTATCGAATGAAAGCAGTCCCCTCTACATACCATCAATGTATCAAATTTCCAACATCAAATGGGGTGGAAACAATTCGGGGAGATCAAGAAGCTTCACGGACGTGTTACTTAGCTAGCCACCGTTTGAAGATCCAATAGCAATTAACAAAGCCCGCAAAAGAGGGACTAAGGCAAAAACCTCCTAGTGGGCAGGAAAAAGAGGATGTGGTAGTCGAAGTGGTGTTGGAAGAAGACAAACCAGATCAGAAAATTCGAATTGGAGCAACTTTGACTGGCCAAATAAAAGAAGCTTTGATCGAACTCTTAAGGAAAAACAAAGCATCATTTGCATGGTCAGCAGCGGACATGCCTGGCATAAATCCGAGTATAATTTGTCATGAACTAAACGTGGATCCAAGCTTCAAACCGGTGAAACAAAAAAGAAGAAAGCTTGGAGTGGAGCGGGCAAAAATAGTAAATGACGAAGTGGATAAACTTTTAAAGATAGGGTCCATAAGAGAAGTGCAATATCCGGAATGGGTAGCAAACACTGTCGTTGTCAAGAAAAAGAATGGGAAAGATAGAGTTTGCATCGATTTTACAGACCTGAATAAAGCATGTCCCAAAGACAGTTTCCCGCTCCCGCATATAGATCGACTTGTAGAGTCCACCGCTGGAAATGAGCTGTTGACGTTCATGGACGCCTTCTCGGGTTATAATCAGATAATGATGAACCCCAAAGATCAAGAGAAGACGTCATTTATCACAGATAGAGGTATGTACTGTTACAAGGTAATGCCTTTTGGTTTGAAAAATGCAGGAGCAACTTACCAACGGTTGGTGAACAAAATGTTTCACAATCACCTCGGGAAGACTATGGAAGTCTACATAGATGATATGCTGGTTAAATCATTAAAGAAAGAAGATCATGTTAAACATTTGGAGGAATGTTTTGATATTCTCAATAAATATCAAATGAAGCTGAACCCGGCGAAGTGCACATTTGGAGTCCCATCCGGAGAATTTCTTGGCTATATCGTAACAGAAAGAGGGATTGAAGCCAATCCAAATCAAATTAACGCCTTTCTAAACATGCCATCTCCAAGAAACTTCAAAGAAGTACAACGGTTGACTGGGCGGATTGCGGCTTTGAATCGATTTATCTCGAGATCGACAGATAAGTCATTGCCTTTCTACCAAATTCTAAAAGGGAACAAAGGATTCCTTTGGGATGAGAAGTGTGAAGAAGCTTTTGGGCAGCTTAAGGCATACTTAACCACTCCACCTATACTCTCCAAACCGGAAGTGGATGAAAAACTTTACTTGTACGTATCAGTTTCAAACCATGCGGTTAGTGGAGTCTTGGTTCGGGAAGACCGTGGGGAGCAGAAACCAATTTACTACGTGAGCAAGTCAATGACGGATCCAGAAACCAGGTACACAATGATGGAAAAGCTTGCACTTGCGGTGGTAACTTCGGCTCGGAAGCTGCGTCCATATTTTCAGTCCCATCCGGTTGAAGTGTTAACTAACCAACCACTCCGAACAATACTTCATAGTCCAAGCCAGTCCGGACGTTTGGCGAAATGGGCGGTGGAATTAAGCGAGTACGACATAGAGTTCAAAAGCCGAATCAGTATGAAGGCTCAGGTCTTAGCAGACTTCCTGACCGAACTACCAATACCTGGAACGATAGAGCAACCGGAGAACCAAACTTGGAAGTTACACGTAGATGGGTCTTCAACAAAGCAAGGATCCGGAGTGGGAATCAGGTTGGAATCTCCAACATCAGAAGTTCTGGAACAATCATTCCGGTTGTTATTCAATGCCTCCAACAACGAGGCAGAATACGAGGCCCTGATTGCCGGACTTCGATTGGCACAAGGAGTTGGTGCTAAGGAAATATTGGCTTATTGCGATTCGCAATTAGTAGTTAACCAGTTTAATGGAGACTATGAAGCCAAAGATTCAAGAATGAAAGCGTACCTCGAAGTGGTGAAGGATCTATCTAAAAATTTCTCGAAATTCGAATTAATCCGCATACCTCGGGGAGAGAATACAACTGCAGATGCACTCGCCGCATTGGCGTCAACATCAGGTCCTGAGTTAAAAAGAGTTATTCCAGTAGAATGCATCTCGGAGCGAAGCATTCAAGACAGCAAGAAAACCCTTGTCGTTACAAGGTCTCGAGCAGCGGCACGTGACCGTAGCGAACCAGAAATCGAACCGCCACCCAACAAGCGGAGGAAGCCAAGGGGATCAAATGCATCTAACAAGGAACCCGTTGTCTTAGCTGAAGAAGTAATTCCAGAAACGATATTAGAAACCGAGCCATTAATCGAGGAGGATATTCTTGAACCAAACGAGCATCCCGAACCAGAGCCACGAATATTTCACAAAGTTGACCAAATTCCGGCTAAAGACTGGGGGGCTGATTGGAGGGAGCCAATAAAGCACTACATCATGACGGGTGAGCTCCCAAGGAATAAATGGCAGGCCAGGAAAATGAAAGTCGTTAGCGCGAA